CCCCCACCTGTATCTAGCCCACAATAAAACCTAAGAGGAGTCTGCCCTGCCCTCCCCTGAAAATGTCTCACCTCCGTGATACCCAGCCCCACAGAGATAGTATTTCTTATATAATTTTGACCCTCAGGGCCCAGCAGGGAGAACAAAGGGGAAAGTCCCACTGCTCTCCCCTCAACACTTCACACCTCGGTGTCATGTTATGTCATTTATAGCACACATGGCTTATCAGGGGAAAGCATTAAGGCATTAAGAATCTTAACTCTGGACAGCTACACACTAGTATACTAGCTACACACTAGGTGCCTACTGTAAACTACTAGACTGTAGGCCCTATGTAGACCTGCAATTGTATCAATTGTAGACTGGGTCCATTGTTATTATTCTAAACCATCTCACTTATAATGTTTCTAGCTTGATTTGTTTCTTTTATAAACAGTGGAATTAAAAAAAAAATTAGCCTAATCATTAACCAAATAATAATAATGTGGTTATTTGTTGTTGGCTGGTATGATCTAGATTGTACTACTAGGCTACAAAAACTTAGTAGACCAATTACTAGATATGAATTTGAATTTAATTAAACTCAGTCCAGTATCAGATACATATTGCTGTAAAAAGACAACAAAGTAGGTAGGCCTTAGTAATTTATTAAAGCCTTCTACTACAATAATATCAACTACATGCTTGTATAAAGTTTTTACAATTTAATTTAAGTAGCAGATTCTAGATCTAAGTCTAGTCATACAATCCATTTCAATTTCAGAAAATTTCGTTTGCTAAAAAAATGATTAGATAATAGAGCGAGATTTTAGATCTTAGAGACAATTAAATGCTTTATTAGGCCTATTATGACTACTTTTGATTCATTATGGGTGTATTTTGAATCGAATGTAGATCTAAAGTAATTAAATTTAAGTAAAGAAGTAGATTCTAGATTCTATGTCCACCCAGCGGAGCCAGGTATTAGGCCTACTATTAGATCTTATTATTCTTATTATTACTTTTGACTTTGTCTTTTACTATTAGTATTTGTGAAGGTCGAGCATATTTGTTTTATTAATAATAATTAATCTTTTATAATTAAAATGAAGTTGATTATTTTACTGTCCTTACCTGAAACAAAGTATCGAGAACTGCATTTGATCAGATTCGGCTACTTTAACTCTAAACGCAAACAGTATTACTAACAGTATTTTTATTTAGAAATTTTGTCCACATATTTATTTATACGAAACTGTCAATAACAGTATAAGGATCTTCAATTCCTAAGAGTTCAAGTTTTTTAACATATTTTTCCTTTTCCGCGGGTGCGGTTCTTTACATACAGTGAACGCGTCCAGCGCTGGCGAACAGCTGATTGTGTTTACGTCTGGTGTACACCACTGTGGCGGCGGGCGTAGGTATCACGAACGGACGTGACGTCATATGAAATGACTCTATACTTAAATATGAAATTTCATCAACCTAGCTGTAACGGTACTCAAGTTATCGTGTTTACAGACACGCACCCAAAGACACACATACACACACAGACATGCGGACAAGATTGAAAAAAAAATATGTTTTTCCGACTAAGGGAAGTGTAAAACGTCGAGATTTGAAAAAAATCTAGATTTTTTTTGCACGATTTCAAGACTTCCTCTATACTTCGTATATCCGAGAAAGTGAGAAAGTAAAAAAGATGCCCGGGTGCAGTGGCGTGGTCAGGATCGTCTAAAGGGGAGGGGGGTTCAAATTTTTTTCCAGCGATATATATATATATATATATATATATATATATATATATATATATATATATATATATATATATAAATAAATAAATAAATATATATATATATATATATATATATATATATATATATATATATATATATATATATATATATAATATACTAGCTGTATGTCATGTCATTGCTTCGCTATGATGTAAAATAAATTTAAATAAATTTAAAGTAGTACTCTGAAGAAATAAGAAAAAACACAACGTAGGCCGACAAAACAAAACAACAATATATATATATATATATATATATATATATATATATATATATATATATATATATATATATATATATATATATATACAGACACAAACAATACAACCAAAAACAATGAATGCAAAGCAATCTGTTTTGTAATCCTTCTAAAAAACAATTTGACATTATGATTCCTAGAATATTAAGACAAGCGAACTAGGGAAAATAATCTCTCTTATTATAAAAATGTACATTTATACAAATTGAATTGTAAATGTCAAAACAGAGCAATAAAAATAATTACTATTCGTTTTTACAAAAATATGTTGTCTACAATCAGAATTGAATATATTGTCATCATAATGCTAAAGTATTACAAATTACATTACAGCATAATGAAAGTTTTTTAAATCAGAGTTGGTATAAAATCAAGCTTTTTAAATTAGCTACTGTTTTTTTGTGTTCTTTAAAGATAATTAACACAATAAGGTATTGGCAGGGGTTAGACCACTGCATTGATCACACACCTCTTTACTGGTAATTGCAAAAATAATATTTACAGATTTTTACCCTGTTTCAAAAGCTATGATTCTGGCGGCATGGTGTTGGGTTCTTCAATGTCTAGTGGTATATATCAACAGACAAAGACGACGTATACAACAGTAGATAACACTAACACTCTATAATAATTATAACAAATTATATATATATATATATATATATATATATATATATATATATATATATATATATATATATATATATATATATATATATATATATAATAAAATAATAAAAAGGTCTACAACATAAATAACAATACTCAACGCCACCTCCACATCCACACTACAACTAACTGCTTCACACACTGGCACACGCTCTGACACCCGTCACCTGACACACCTCATGTGAACACTTCTCGCTCCATGTAATTATTTTTTTGTAAACACACTCAACCAAGGGCTACAACTATACACAAAAAGGAGGGTACCTGTCGTTCGAGCACACAACACACACAATCAGGGGGCATGCTAGCAGTGGCGTACAGAGGGGGAGGGGGGCACAGGCCCCGGGCATCCACCCGGGGGGGGGGCATCAAATGAAGGTTTTTTTTTTTTTATTTACATTTTTGTAATTTATATGATAGACTCAATCGTCTATCCATCGTTTTGACATTATACTGTCCGTATCGCAAAAATTACTAGAAAAAGCGGGCATCAGTGAAGGGTAGTCCCATGTTAGTCATTGATATTCCTTTAATAAATTCGGTCTTTATATTAAATGTAGGGGCATCTTTTAGAGTAGTTTTGCCCGTATAATTCCTTTGTACTATAGGGGCATCTTTAAAGTCATCATCATCATCACTCCTTTGTGGCCCCTGGGGAGCAAAGGGCTGCAACCACACATCTCTAGCGGACTCGGTTTTGGGCTGCTCCTCTAATCTGTGCCCATGAGAGCCCAGCTGTTTTCGCCTCCTCCTCAACCGTTTTCTTCCATGTTTTCCTTGTCCGGCCCACCCTCCTTTTCCCCTGGGGATTCCAGTCCAATGCATGTTTTGCGATGTTTTCTTTTTCTTTTCTTAACGTGTGTCCGATCCATCCCCATTTACGGGCCTTAATATCTTTCTCTATCGGTTGTTGTTTTAAAATTTGCCACAGGTCTTTGTTTGATATTTTGTCTGGCCATCTTATTTTGAGTATATGTCGTAAGCATTTGTTTACGAACGCCTGTAGCCTATCAGAATTTGTCTTCGAAACCCTCCAGGTATCCGAGCCATAGAGTAGCACTGCCTTAACATTCGTGTTGAAAATCCCAATTTTTTTGCTCCGGAGTGACAGGGCCGTGGACCTCCACATCGGGCGCAGTGAGTTGAAGGCACATCTAGCCTTGTTGATACGGCATTTTATGTCCTCGTCTGCTCCCCGTCCTTATTGATCACGCTTCCCAGATATGTGAATGTGTTAGTTTCTCGTAAATCTTCTCCATTTAGCTGTATGGGCAGGTCCTGGCTGTTATTGATTCTGATGACCTCTGTTTTGTTTTTATTGATTTTTAGTCCAATTTTGGAGGCTTCTTCAGACAGCCGATTCAGTTTGGCTTGCGTGTGTTGATGCTTATGAGATAGTAGGCAGATGTCATCGGCAAAATCAAGATCCTCCAACCTTTTTGTAAAACTCCACTGGATTCCTGTGTCGTTTTTTGTGGCCCTCAGCATGATCCAGTCGTTTACCATCAAGAATATCATTGGCGATAGCATACATCCCTGTCTTGCTCCCGTCGTCACCGTGAATGGTTTTGTTAGCCTTCCCTTGTGTATTACCTGAATGGTGGAGTCTTCATATAGTTTCTGTGTGATAGATATACATTTTTTGGGTATTCCATATAACATCTCTATATACACTGTCAAACGCCTTTTCGAAGTCGACAAAAGTCATGTATAAGGGGAATTGCCACTCAAGGGACTGTTCGATAATGATGCGCAGCGTGGCAATGTGGTCAGTACATGACCTGTCCTGACGAAAACCAGCCTGTTCTTGTCTCAGCTTTTTGTCCAAGGCATCTCTAAGTCTCTCTAGGATGATTCTTGTCAGAACCTTTCTTGGAACTGAAAGAAGCATTATCCCTCTCCAGTTGTTGCATTGTGTCAGGTCTCCCTTCTTTGGCAGTTTTATCAGGTATCCCAGTTTCCAGTCAGATGGGATTATCTCTTCTTCCCAAATCTGCTTAAGTAGAGGATGTAGTATGTCTGCTGATATGGCTGGGTCTGCCTTGAGTGCCTCTGGTGGGATGCCGTCCGGGCCAGCTGCTTTGCCATTTTTCATGTTTTTTATTGCTCTTATTGTTTCTAACTTTGTGGGTGGATCTGTACACACATCAAGTAGGTGATTTGCAGGTGGTATATCGGGGATGTTTGATGAGAGAAGATGGTTTAAAATCTCTTCAAAGTGCTGTACCCATCTGTCTCTCTGTTCTGTGTCACTTGTTAAGATATTTCCTACTTTATCCTTTACTGGTTTGTTGGGATTAATGTTCTTGCCTGATAGTGTCCTGGTTTATTTCATAGAGCCTCTTCATTTTTCCTTGTCGTGCCGCAGTTTCTGCCTCCTCTATCATCTCCTGTATGAACTGTCTTTTGTCTTCTTTTGCACTTTTCCTGACCATGCGATTTACTTCACAATAATGTGTTCTGAGGTTTATTTTCTCTTTTTCATCCTTACATTTATTAATCTTCTGCTTTATTTCTTTTCTATCTTCAATTTTGGCCCATGTCTCTGTCGTGATCCATTCTTTTTGCTAATTTTTTCTTCTCCCCAATATGTCAGTGCATGTTGACTTCCATAGTTCCTGTATTCCTAGCCATTTTTGCTCTACTGTTTCCTCTGCCAGGTTGGAGAGTGCTTCATACCTATTTTTTTTACTGCACAGTTAAAGTCTTCCTTTATTTTTGGAAACCTAAGATATGTTGTATTGAATTTAAAGTGCGGTTTATCAGCTCGATCCCTGTAGGATTTTAGTTTTAATTTTAGTATTGCAACCACGAGTTGGTGGTCTGAGGCTGCATCTGCACCTCGTTTCGCCCTAACATCCATTAAACTTCTTCTCCACTTTCTGGAAACTGTGATGTGATCTATTTGGTTTTTTGTTTTGCCATCGGGTGACGTCCAGGTGGTCTTATGTATATCTTTATGAGCGAAAATTGTCCCCCCTATAATTAGATTATTAAATGCGCAGAAATCAGCAAAGAGTTCCCCGTTTTCATTTATTATGCCTATTCCATTTTTCCCCACTGTGAGCCCCCGTTCTTTATTTTCTGTTCCAACTTTGGCATTCATGTCTCCCATTACTATTTTTATATCTCTTTTTGGTGATTTGTCGATTTGAGCCTGCAGGGCGCTGTAGAAGTCCTCTTTCTCTTCATCTGTTGCAGCATTTGTGGGTGCATAGCACTGGATTAAAGTTGTTTTCCTTCCCTTGGCATTGAAACGAGCTGCTATGAGTCGTGGCGAGACTGGTTCCCATGCAATCAAAGCATCTGTTGCTTCTCGAGACATCATTATGGCTACACCTTGCGTGTGTTCATGATCTTCGTCCTCGTGACCTGAGTAGATGACAGTCTCTCCCGATACCAACCTAGTTTGGCCACTGCCGTTCCATCGTGTCTCACTTAATCCTAGGACCTTTAATTTATACCTTCTCATTTCCTTGGCGACCTGGGCTGATCTGCTGCTTTCATATAGGGTTCTGATGTTCCAGGTCCCTAATCTGGTTTTGGTCTTGGGCGTTAGGAGATTTGTCAGCAAACTAGCTTCCGTTAGGCTTTCACTAGTAGGCATCATGGGCTCTTCTAGAGAGGATCCCCCTTGACCAAGTCGGTGTTGGATTTGTGTACTTGCAGTTTCTGTAGCGGTATATTTTTTTACGAGATAAGGTTGCTAGCCTTATGTTTCAACCCCCAACCTGGAGGACCAGGGTGTTAGCTTTGGTCTGATCCCTACCCGCGCAGACCTTCCCAGCTTGGTTGAACCTACCAGGAGTTGACACTCCCGCTGGTATAGCTCTGGGGGTGGTCAGGATGCACAAGCTGCCAAGCCACGACAAGGCTCTAACACCGGATGGCAGATCTTTAAAGTAATTATGCCCATACTCGTTATACTTGTTTTCAAAGACATCCGTAAAGTATTTTTACCCACATTTATTTTTAAGGACTGTAGGGGAATCTTTAAAGTAATAATCGTATATCCATTATATTATATTTTAAGGACATCCAGTAATATGCCCACTTCGCTTTAAAATAAATTTTAAAGTGCATCCATACATTAATCATACCCATCATCATTGTGGCTAATTTTGGGAACATTTTAACGTTTTTATCTACATGCTCATTATAATACATTTTAAGTGCATCCAAAGGGAATTATGCCCATATTATTATTATACATTTTGGGGCACCTTTGGGTGGTGTGGTGGGGGGGGGGGGGGGAATAACCAACTCAGAGTGTACATAGCGTCAGTTTTTAGATGACTGTTCCAAACATACATACGTATACGAGTCGACCCGCGGCGCATCATACGCCGCTATTTAGTTGTTTTATTTTCTACTTTTCAGTAATTCATAATTTGTGAATTTGACAATACCAATGCTGCCACTGAAAATATTTGCTCTAAAACACTATCAGTAGCTCGTTAAGGACGATAACCCCCCCCTCCTTTCCCCAACCCCTACCCCTACCCCCCCCCCCCCCCCCCCCCGTGAAAGCAAACTCCTCCTAGTTACCTGCCTAAGTTTAAAATCGTTTTCAAACTACATTATCTGCCCCTAATAGCCGTCACTAAACCCGGCTCTACGAATGTAAACATTTAGCGTGAACCACAGTTCACCAGACCATGTAGGGGTGGGGGCGGTAGCGAGCGAGCTTACAGCTTGGTGTTTTCTATGGTCTCCAAGAAGAGAATTATATATATACGAGCCGACCCGCGGCGAATCATACGCCGCTATTTAGTTTTTTTTTCTACTTTTCAGTAATTAATAATTTGAATGCTGCCACTAAAAATATTTGCTTTAATACACTAAAACCATCCTTTCCCCCAACCCCTATCCCCCGCCCCATGAAAGCAGCATCCACTTAGTTACCTCCCCTAAGTTTAAAATCGTTTCAAACTAAATTATATGCCCCTAATAGCCGTCACTAAACCCGGCTCTACGATTGTAAACATTTAGCGTGAACCTCAGCTCACCAGACCATGTACCATGTGGGGGTGGGCAGCAGAGGCGTAGCGACCCTTCCCGGCGCCCGGGGACAAACTTTTTGATTTGCACCCCCCTCAAGATTTCGATTTGCACCCCCCTCAAACTTTCGATTTGTACCCCCCCCCCTCAAGATTTCGATTTGCACCCCCCCCCCCCTCAAACTTTCGATTTGCACTTCCCCTCGAGATTTCGATTTGCACCCCCCCCCCCCCTCAAACTTTCGATTTGCAACCCCCTCCTCGAAATTTCCATTTGCACCCCCTCAAACTTTCGATTTGCACCCCCCTCAACCTTTCAATTTATTTTTCCAACCCATTTTGGCACCCCTAAGGTCGGCGCCCGGGGACATATGTCCCCCCGCCCCCCCTCGCTACGCTACTGGTGGGCAGTGGCGTAGCCAGGATCGTCTCAAGGGGGGTTCCAATTTTTACCCGGGGGCAAGCTTTCGATTTGCACCCCCCCTCAAACTTTTGATTTGCACCCCCCCCCCCAAACTTTCGATTTGCACCCCCCTCAAACTTTCGATTTGCACCCCCCTCATACTTTATATATATACCGAGGGGTCTATGGAGGGGGATTATGACCCCCCCAACCCGCCCCCCCCCCCCCCTGCCTACACCACTGGGGGTGGTTGTGGTAGCGATATGCCTAGAGACTAGTAGAGAGGAGAGAGGGGGTTGCTAGGAAGCGCGCTTCCTACTTGGTGTTTTCTATGGTCTCCAAGAAGATAATTATATATATATAGATAGATACTGATTCAGAAATAGATTTAAATAAGTAACAGTATTATTATGACAGTAATTTTTTTTTTATAGAGGGGTCCATGGGGGGGGGGGGGGAGATGGCTATTAAATTATTAGATCTTGGTTGCTTCTGTTAAAAACATCGCTAATATAAATTCTTTATTACTGAAAAGTCTTAAATAAAGTTGTTTAAAAACATGTAGATCTACATGATCTTCCTAAAAATATGAAATAATTACTAGATCTAGAATCTAGAGGTCTAGTCTAAAATTAAAATGTAGGGGAAAAAACGCCGAGCTGGTAATGTGAAAAAAAGCTGCCTCATTTCGATAACTGAATAACATTAGGGGGCCTAATAATAAACTAAAATCAGTGTTTGCGAGCAAGATTTAGAATCTATATATAGAGTGGCTTCCCTTATATCTTTTACCAAGATGGCTGCTAGAGTAAATAGTAAATGAACTTGGTTGCATCTGATGAAAACATCGCTAGTCTTTATTTATTACTAAAAAGTTTTAATACATTTATTTAAAAACAGGTAGAATCTACATAAATGAAACTTTGAAACATTTTGTAACTTTCAAAACATAAATCCTCCTAAAAATGTGAAATAATTAAAAAAAAAAAAATTAAATTAGTAGGCCCCTAACTATTTTTTGACACTATTTGTAACTAATCACTAAAGTAAAGTAATTATTAATTAACTAATTAGGGTTAGGGGCCTAATTTATTAAATTAATCCACTTCTGAAATACAAATTCAAATATTTATTTTAAAATTATTTTAGGCCTAGATCTAGTAAGTAGTAAGTATACTAGTATACAGAGTATAGTACAGAGTAGTATAGAGGGAGTATATATATAATATTGTAATCGTGCAAAAAAAAGATTGTTTACACCTCCCTGAGTCGGAAAAACATATTTTTGCAATTTTGTCCATATAGATCTGTTGTGTGTGTGTATGAATGTGTGACTGTGAACACGATAATTTGAGTACACTTACAGCTAGGTTGATAAAATTTCATATAGGGGCCTATAAGTATTATAAATTATATCAAATTTGTAGTTCTGTTTCAACTTTTCAGCGATTTCCGGTTACCGGTAGTAGAACTTATTCTACTTTAAATTTTTCAAAAGCCTATAACTTGAGTACTGTTTCAGATAGATAAATGAAATTTCACATGTAAGTAAAAGATCTAATTCTCTGCCCTGTTTCAAATTTTGAGTAATTTCCGTTGACTGGAAGTAGTAATTTACGCTATTTCCGATTTCTCAAAAAACGCATGTGTGAATCTATAAAGTACTAATAATGTTCAGCACTATTATACACATTTTGTTTGGCGTTCATTTGGTGAGCAATTCTTTTTTTCTACGAGATTCAATTCTATTTTTTAAAAAGTTTAAGTAATTAAAAATGGATTAAAAATCATATCTATATCTTAAGTTACCTTTCCCCATAGTGTTATATTAGAATATTCGAGAAAGTTTAGGGGATATCACTCCTGGTTTATTATAACTATAGTTTATTTTTGTGAATTTGTTTTGCAGTGATTTTTTATGCCAAAACTAAATGTCCGACATGCTACAATAAAACCATCATTCTATAAAGTTTTGATCATTCTTAGAGTAAAGCTTGTCTGATCAATATCATAATGGTTAGTTTTATTTGTAGATAATAACTAAATCTACATGAATACCTTAATTTTGTCCACTAGCTTGCATTTTCAGATAAATTATAACATTTATTGTTCGGCAGCTCTTGATGCCTCAGGTGCAAGTTAATAATTAATTCTTTATAGTATAGGGGTAATAAAGCCACCCCTGCCCCCACCTACTTTTAACCCACCATAAAGTGTTTGCAGGAAAAAAGTCACAGGAAAAAAAACCACAGGAAAAAAGTCAAAAATGTGCATTTGCATGAAATTTGTTAATACTTTTATGTATTAAATTTCAGTAAGTTCAAATAAACTTAGGATTAATTAAATGTAATGTAGGTTGTGTATGACATATACGTATACTAATATTTATAACAAATGTAAAAATATTTTTCATGTGGTATGTAGGTTTTAGCTTTGTTATACATAGATTATTTAATAGAATTTATAAGAATGTTCCAACCTTCTCAGTTTTCATTGTGTTTTTTAAATACTACCTTAAAATTAGCATGAAATGGCAAAAGCTCTCAACTCATCTCAACAATAATTCAATCACCTGTACTACCCACATTTATCACCCTTATTACATAACAAAGCATAGGATCTAAACAGAAAGCAGACACAGATCAAAGGCTGCCATTGATGCAAAACACCAGCAACACACAATACAGAGAGATAAGATCGACTGTGGAGAACTTTGGAGAAGCCGACAAAGGAATGGCCTAAAGCAAAAACATATGCAAAACACAATGATGTGCCAACATTTATTTTGTAATTAATTTTTTTCTACCGCTTATCGTCCTTAATGAGCTACTGATAGTGTTTTAAAGCAAATGACGCCTCAAAAGATCATGTTGGACTCAGTCAGCATCAGCGGACAGTTTATTCCCAACCTGCACTTTGCTGATGACATACATGCCATAGCAAGTACTGAATCTGAATTGATATAATTATAACCAACTCAAGTGGCACATGTAATATTATTTATACATACATATATTCAAATGCAGAAGAGAAACCGCCCACCTACACCACTGCATGTAACATTTTCCATCACTATACCATCACATTACTACACCTACACAAATTGTATGTTTAAAAAATAAATTATGGGAAATCACATTTTAAACAAATTTAAATGATTTCAAAGCAAGTTGAGCATAACAAATGATAAATGACCTTGGTGCTCACATTGTGTTATATAATATGTGTATTGTCTTTTCTAGTATCTTGTTAATAGTTTATTTGTTATATCAATTACCTCAACTAGACAGGATGACTTAGGGTGGAAGAAGAGGAAGTCAAAAAAAGCCCATACTGTCGAATTCACAAATTATGAATTACTGAAAAGTAGAAAATAAAACAACTAAATAGCGGCTTATAATACGCTGCATGTCGGCTCGTATGTAATAAAAGTTGAGGTTTTGATGTAAATAATATTACATACTATGTTTACTTATTATTGTTATAAACCATAATTCTTTTTCAACATGCTACCAAAAAAAACCCACAACAATAAACTCCAAAAATTTTACAATTCTCAACAATTAAATCAAAATATTTATCAAAAGATTTTTGTGACTTTTTTCTGTGACTTTATTTCTGTCTTTTATCTGATAAAATTTTCCCTTTGTGACTTTTTTCGTAGAAAATACTGTGACTTTTTTCTGTGTTTTTTATTCCTGTGACTATTTTTCCATTTTTCTGTTCACCCATAAAACTTCTAATCCTTTTGTAGGTAGATGACTGTTCTTAGATCTCAGTCAGAGATAGCATGTTATTTCGTATATGACCATCATTGAATCATGGTCTAGCAGGGAGGAGATCAAAGAGGAATCAGCAGGCCTACCACTGCCCTCCCGTCAACATGTGCGGGGGGGGGGGGGCACAGGCTGTTTAGGGGCCCACATCCGACCATAATCAATTTTTTTATAGTTAAAAAAAATAATTTTCTTGCATTTTTGACTTGATGGTTGTTTTGTAAAAAGAATACTGTAGTTTATTCTATAGACACCATCCTCTTTCTCCTACAATCAAACATGCGCTGTTGTTGGCAAAAGTCTTTTTAAAATAAACTAAAGTCCAACACGCGAGAGGCCCTTAGATATTAAGACAACTTTTGCTTCTTTATAGCATTGATTATGGGCCCACAATCCATTGTGATTTTATAAAATGTAAACTTTTCGTTTGTTGTATTGGTAGAACTACTGTTCTGTACTATTTCGGTTTTATGTACGTTTACTTCTTTTCTTTTTACAAATACAATAGTAAACGTGTATAATTTGAATTCTCTCCTTTGAGTGTTTCACAATAGGCTTTAGGAAAAGTTGTTGAGACCGTCCCAACTTCGGTAAAATTTGGGAAGTCTTTGAGTACTCATAGACCTAACATTTGTTTAAAATGTATAGTTAAACGCCCCGATAGGTGTCCTGCACAGGGGGATAGGTGTACTACTTGAATCATCAGTCTAGCTGCATTAGGTGCCTCCGCCGGTGGCCATGTCCTAAGAGCCCCGTGAAGCCTCTTTCACCAAGGCTGTCGCGGAGGGGTGTTTCTTTCACCATCAGCGTAAACTGGGGCATGTTTGTGGTTATGTGTACAAACTAGCGCCCCAATAACAAAGCCTTGATAAAAAAATACCAGATCTATTACAGAAGTGATGTTCTACAGTAGCTAACTTACACTGTTGCGTAAAATAAAATATATGCATGAGTTGTAGTGTGAAAGAAAGGCAAACGTTCAAAACAGTTCCATGACTTATTTAAATAGTCAAATATATGTGCTCTTAAATAAGCACATTTTAACAGATTTGCACTAAACAAATTAAAAAGCTGTTAATTATTATTATTTTAAAAAATACATAATAAAGAATGACATAGTATAAAACGGAAATGTATTAAAAACTAATAAAATACATTAAAAAAATATAAAAATAAACATAAGGCGAGAAACCATTACATATACAAAGCTTTCATGCTTCATATTCTTTTGGCCAACTTACTTTTATGAAGCATTATAGCAGACATATATTGAAACAGATTTTCAAAAAGACTAATAGCACCCCAAAAAAAAAGAATTTTTAATGTTTCTTTTTAAAACTTGAAATGAGTTTTCTTTGTTCGTAATGTAATATATATATATATATATATATATATATATATATATATATATATATATATATATATATGGCCCAAAGAATATTTTTGCAGGGTGGTCCATTTTTTCTAGTTCCGCCACTGAATACTAGCCATGGCAGATTTTACATACCTAAAATTAAATGATAGATTACCCTTATACTATATAGTAAGAGTTAATACAAGTCTATACTATAACTATACTGAGACTCAATACTGACTATACATTATACATAGGCCTACATAGCCCACTAGATCTAAAATGAATGAATTCTAAGTTGTGAGTTAAAAATAACTTATATAGTTTACTCATGTTGGATGGTAAAACTAAAAGTACAGATATCCGATATCATAATAGACTGTTCCGAAAATAGGTTGTTAGTAGTTTTGTTAATTCAATTAATTTTATGGTTAGAAATTAGGTTAGGCTTATGGTAGGGATAGGGTAAGCATTGATATTAGTAAGCTAATGTGTGCATTTAGTGTTTAGCATTTAACTAAGTTAACTTCTAGTATCCTAACACCCATTTTTAAAAGAAGATTCTATTATCAGACACTGATATAAGAAATCCTCCCATAGGCCTTGCCTCAGGGGCGTAGCGAGGGGGGTGCGGGGGTGCGGACCGCACCGGGTGACACCATTTAGGGGGGTGACACCAAGGCAAAAAATAGCAAAATATATGGAGAAAAAGTTGAGGGGGGGGGGGTGCAAATAGAAAGTTTGAGGGGGGTGTGCAAATCGAAAACTTGAGGGGGGGGGTGCAAATGGAAAGTTTGAGGGGGTGCAAATTGAAAATTTGAAAGTTTGTCCCCAGGAAGGGTCGCTACGCCTCTGAGGGGGTGACACCCGACCTCGCTACGCCACTGCCTTGCCTAATATGTAATTTTAAATTTTAATAGAAATCATTTTAAAAAATAGCATGAAAAATGTGTGCGTTTATATTGCATATTTTATTGTTTAACTAAATTTATCAGATAATTGAAAAAAATCTTTAATATAAATAAAATAAAATTCAATTAGTCACCTTCCTTTCAAATTACTAGCTTTGGCCAAATTTATGTACCTAAATCAATGAACTAAGGATTGAGATCAAAGGGTTGACTCAAAATATTGACCACCATATAATAATACCCTAATAATACCTCACAATTTACAATATTAAAGCATGGCTCTCTTAGTTTCATAGCATCAATAAATTCAACAATAACCATTTTTGTATCATCCTTTAACTGAATTATACCAATGTTTACCATTGTCTTTAATTTTTCAGATGTGATGACAGTTGTATTTCAAAGTTCTAATATAAACAAAATAATTCCATAATGGATAAATCCAACACATTTACCTGTAATGATGGTAATAAATCTAAAAACAAATTGAATTCTGCTGCCAAGTCTCTTCTTCACAATGTCATACGTCATACAGATAGTCATAACAGGGTGTGTATAGATCTATATCAGATTTATTATCAGTATTATACACATTTTAAATTTAAAAAAAAAACCTTTGAGATTCACTTATTTTGGCTTTTAAAACAAATTAAATAATTTGCTTCTAGTTGTGGGCAGCACTTAGTATGGCCTAACAGGCTGAAGCACAAAAATATATCAAAGGTAGTTTACTTATCCATGTGTGCAAAAATTGTTTTCCAAATTGTAAAATACACTTCAACAGTTTTTTTTTGCTGAATATTTCTTGAATAGCACATGGAAGAGGCTGAGATGTGGCAACTCCATTTGAAAATGAAGGGAAAAATCAATCTAGGCCTACTATGTAAAAATCATGAGCGAAAAAAAGATACTCAAGAATTTAAAGATGTCAAGATAGAAAATTCATTTTTATTTGATGACAGGTAACGAAACATTATCTTTGATTTTTAGCTTTATTGTTTTGGATTATAGTTTAAATAGGGAGCCATATCATTGGATTACTATAAATAAGATGTTCAACTAGCAAAGACTGCTCCACCCACCCAGTCACCAGGAACTTGCCAGGTTACCTTTATTTTTGGCAGCTTTGAGTACCCAATACAATGCTTAATGAGCGTACAAATCACAGTCCTTTATAGATAAGTTTATCTCAATTGCCAGTGCAGGGTCTGTTTGGTATTTATATACACACACACACACATGTATATATTTATCTATATAAAGCAGTTGTCAGGTGCCCGATAGGGCACTTCCCGGTGCTGCAGGCCCTTCAAATTTGGCATGAGTCTGCCTTGGGACAATAGAATACGAAGGCCGGTGCCGGTTGGCCAACAAGTCCACGTAGAGGGGGTCAAAACTGACCTCGACTGACCGGAGCCTTATATGGGCTATACTATGAAAAAAACTTGTGCCCAACGACCCCCCTTGATATTTTGTGAGGTGGTAGGAGAACGCCTAGGGGTGCCACAAAAAACTTGCCATGTCCGGGAAAAATCTGGAAATGGGTCAAAACTGACCAGTCGTATTTCCCTATTATGCCTATATAATCTTTGTATTTTATGTAAAAAACAGGGTAATTTCAACAAAGATTTCAGGGTACTTACCCTCTATACATCTGACTAATTTTTGGCATGCTCTTAGGTAAATGGCTAGGCAGAAGGGCAAACCTGTCAGTTTAACTAAAAGCCCTCAAAGAGTGCTAAAAATTGACAGTGAAATTCTCTTTATATGAGCTCTATTGCGAAAAAATCTTCTGCCCATCGACCCCCCTTGATATTTTGTGAAGTGGTAGGAGAGCGTCTAGGGGTGTCACAAAAAATTTGCCATGTCCGGGAAAAATCTGGAAATGGGTCAAAACTGCACAGTTGTATTTCCCTATATAATCTTTGTATTTTATGGGGAAACACAAATTTTAGGGTACTTAACCTCTGTATATCTGGCTAATTTTTTGCATACACCTCTTTAGATGACTAGGCCGTATGGAAAAACTGTTGGTCAGACTAAAGCCCTCGAAGAGTGCTAAAAAATGACAGTGTGAAATTCTCATTATACAAGATATATATATAAATAAATTGACGAACAATCCCCCTAATATTTTGTGAGGTCCTAGACCGACCCTGGAGGGTAACAAAAAACATTATTCCCGTCAGAAAAAAACCCTTAGAATTGTTGGATTTGTCCATATGGCGTATTTTCCCTATATCAACAATTGTTTGTGAAAAAGTAATTAAAGACTATGTCATTTTGTCTATGAAGGGGGAGGTAACTTTTTAATGTAATAATTTTTAAATATTTTGTGTACTATTTTTTAAGAAAAAACAAAAATCATAAAGTATAGCATTCTTTTAAATAGATATTTTATTATAAATTATGTTTTGTATTGTACTGAAATTGTAAAAATTAATTGCGAAAGTAATTTAATATATTTGATTGATACTATTAAGAAAGCCCTTGCAGTTCTAATAACCTTGCGAGTAATAAGTTTGCTAATATTCCATCAATGTTTTAATGACATGAAATTACTCCACTGTATAAATTTAGGCCCTAAGCATTTAACCTAACAGCCAATCACCTATTAATTAATCATTCAATTCCTCAATTTTTTTGAAAACCTAAGCGAAGCTAGGCAGTATGCCTAGTATATATAAATTTTATATATATATATACACACATATATACATACACACATATATATATACTCATATATATATATATATATATATATATATATATAAAACAAATGTTTAAAGAGAAAAACAATGACAAATGTTGGACTTTTTCATCCAAAAGAAATACCTCAAATGTATTCATAGATGTGGGGGGATAACCTAGTTAGGGTAAGCTTGTTTTTGTGCAATTAAATCTACAGCAGCCTATGCCATACCCTATAAAAGTATCTACCAGTTAATGTGACTGCAAGAATCATGTGTAATTAAGCAGTCAGACAAGTGATAGCTGGCTTCACCTTTATTTATAGGTTAAATTTCCAGGTGGTTTGCTAATTAGGTGTGAGACTTTGCGTTTCATCTTTGTATCACTAATTATGACTGACGCCTCAAAAGATCATGTTGGACTCAGTCAGCATCAGCGGACAGTTTATTCCCAACCTGCACTTTGCTGATGACATACATGCCATAGCAAGTACTGAATCTGAATTGATATAATTATAACCAACTCAAGTGGCACATGTAATATTATTTATACATACATATATTCAAATGCAGAAGAGAAACCGCCCACCTACACCACTGCATGTAACATTTTCCATCACTATACCATCACATTACTACACCTACACAAATTGTATGTTTAAAAAATAAATTATGGGAAATCACATTTTAAACAAATTTAAATGATTTCAAAGCAAGTTGAGCATAACAAATGATAAATGACCTTGGTGCTCACATTGTGTTATATAATATGTGTATTGTCTTTTCTAGTATCTTGTTAATAGTTTATTTGTTATATCAATTACCTCAACTAGACAGGATGACTTAGGGTGGAAGAAGAGGAAGTCAAAAAAAGCCCATATGGATGACTCAGAAGATAGAAATGTTGGAGAGGCTTCTAACAGTACTTACTGGATGAGACAGTTATATAAATTTGAAGAGAATGATCCTGACAGGTTAGTATAACACCTATAGTTTTTTTTGTTTTGAAGTAATGGTTTGTGTGTAAAGAGTGGCATGAGCAAGGGGTGTTGTTGAGAGAGGTTACAAGCCCCCTCCCTCCACCCAATGACAATCGTGACAACTGTCTCACATTAATAATTTTAGGCCTATGTAATGAAAAAGCATTTTGGAAACTTCCCTTATGGCCAAATCCTGTCAATGCTATTGGTGTTTACAATAACTATTACCATTTGTTACATTCACCTCACCTCAACTTTCAGTGTTATACCTAGAATAATAAAATGTTCCTTTCTATTTGACCAATTGTCTTATTTTATGTTTAAGATGGGGACACAGTGGTTATAAAGAGCTGTACCCTGGAGATTGTGAAAGTGATGGTGATCAGAAGAAAAAAAAGAAAAAGCAGAAAAAGAAAAAAAAAGAAAAAGATAAGGATTTTAACAGTCCAGTTTGTAAAAAGAAGAAGAAAAAGAAAGCTACAAAAACAATTAGTAGGAAAGAGGATAAAAAGCTTAAAAAGGAAAGAAAAAGAAAGAGAAGTGATTCATTATCAAGCTTTGAAGCTGATATGAGAAAGTTAGAAGAAAAGAATTCAATAACAAAAAAGAGAAAGTACTCTCAGGAAGATATAGCTGGAGATGAACACTTAGCGTATGAACCGCATCACAGAAAAATGCTCAGAAGAAAGACATCATTTTAGTTTTTGTGTGGAAGTCAATGGAAGTATTTTATTGGGTTTTTTAGAGGTTGTGGTCATTAAATAAAACAAAACAAAGTTAAATTGTCAAAAGAAATCACTGGTTTAAATTAAAGATAGGACGAAATGTTCAGTACATTTTGTAAATTTTTCATTTCTTTCAAAACTTTTCATCAAACTTAGAAATTAATGATTGGTGATAAACAAAACCTTCATACTTCATTGGTTCTATTCTCAGTGTTTTATGACGTAACTTGTATTAATAGATAAGTTGGGACTTCTTATTATCATCAACAATTTTACAGCAGTTCCAAAGGTTTACTTTATGTTCTAAATAAAATATATGTTGTTGTATCATAATCGTTAAAATGGTTTTGTTTGATAATTAATGTATACAAATCCTCGTTTGGTCTTTGATAGTGATAGCTTTTGTATTTCAAGTGTATATATATATATATATATATATATATATATATATATATATATATATATATGTTACGGTCAAAGCCCAAAGTCGGCCAATGTGCGGATTGGCCGGCCATTGCGCGCATTAGCCAATATCGCCTCCTATTGACCGGTCAAAGTCTGAAATGTTGCTTGATTTTTGGGCTTTGACCGGCCAATCCGCGGACTGGCCATGGTGAACCGGCCAAAGTCTGAATTAGAAGATCATACGGCCATGGTGGACCGGCCAAAGTCTTAATTAGAAGATCATCTGGCTAGGGATGACCGGCCTAAGTAGGAATTAGAAGCCGTAAGGATCATGAAATTAATTTTTTTATTGATTAATAATTAAAGTAAATGACAGAAAGTCTTAATTAGAAGATCATCTGGCTAGGGATGACCGGCCTAAGTAGGAATTAGAAGCCGTAAGGATCATGAAATTAATTTTTTTATTGATTAATAATTAAAGTAAATGACAGAAATATTCAAATTTTTTCTTGTACTATAGTCTCAATCAATATTATCATTTGTTACAACAAGTGGAACTATTATGGCATTTAGAATTACATAGCAGCTTGTTATATTTACACTTGCAGCGATTTGTTGTGCACTTAGTTGTGCTATTGCAGCGAGTGTAGCCTTGGCCCCCAGTCAATGATTGTGAAGATGCGATGCTTCGTAGTGATTTTTCCTCAGTGCCAACTGACGACAATAAGAGCAGTTTTTCGTGAAGAATTGAAAACTCACTTCTTTAGAACACCATGTACTGTTCCTAATTTTGTAGACGCTCATGACAACTGCAATCACGCTTCGGGGATCACCGCGACCTCTGTCAACACGGATGCGTACATTGTCACCCACATCAGCATCTTTAAATTTTGTATTTGATGTTTTAAGCATCTTAGCACCTTGTCTCTGCAAGCTAGTATGAGCTGCTGACCTGTATTCCATGATGTCTTGTTTGCTGTGACACAATCTGCAGGTAATATTCCCTCCGAACCCTTCGTCTGCTTCATTGGGTATTCCCCAGGCTGTCACACACAGTTGTAGCCCATATATGAAACTAACATGGAATCAGGTTTTTTTTTCGTTTGACAGCCATCTATTATGTCTGTCTCATGGTCTGACGGCCCTTTTGATCCATGTCGCCTTGCATATAGAATTCTATACAAACAAGAGCTAAACAATACGTTACTCACAATGAAACAGCACCCAGAATAATGAAAACGCGATCACAACTTATTCTAGATAGAACATTGGACATGACATCCCGGCCAGTGCGTGCATGTTTGTGGAAGACATACATACACGATATATATATATATATATATATATATATATATATATATATATATATATATATATATATATATATATATATATATATATATATGTTACGGTCAAAGCCCGAAGTGCGGCCAAACCCCGGATTGGCCGGCCAATGCGCGCATTGGCCGGCTCTCTTGGCCAAAGCCCGAAGAACTTAGCACTAAGAGCGTATTTCGTACATTGGCCGGCCAATGCGCGCACTGGCCGGGACGCACTGGCCAAAGTCCGAAGCGCTTAAACTTGACAGCGTATTTTGTACATTGGCCGGCCAATGCGCGCACTGGCCGGGATGTCCTGGCCAATGTTCTATCTAGACTAAATTGTAATCGCGTTTTCATTATTCTGGGTGCGGATTCATTGTGAGTAACTTATTGTTTGGCTTTTGTTTGTATAGCATACTATATGCAATGCGACATGGACCAAAAGGACCGTCAGATCAAGAGACAGACATACCAGATGGCTGCCAAAATAAATAATCCAAATCCTAATGGAAAAGAATTTGTGAATCAAGTTAATTCTGAACTAAAGAACACGTGGCCTGAACTTAAACTAGTTCACAGAAAACCAGGCATAGCCAAAGCCAATGTTCAGTAGAACGTGCCAACTAAGATGTTCAAGACATGATGATGACATGGATGCAGACAGATGAATCAGCTCATTTTCATCAAGGAATCCAACAATCGCCATACGAAGCCTTGTTTGGATGCAAAGCAAAAGTGAGACTAGCACTCAAATCTACCAAGAGAGGCTCTCGATAAGTTAGCTACTTAAGAAGATCTTGAGAACATTGAACAAGAAATGGAGGTTACCATAAATGCAACGACATCCTCAGCTAACACATATGCTGCCGTGGCAATAATGTGGCCAACACATTATGTATAGTTTGTGAAAAAACATTGTAGTGCAGCTTATTCTTGTGGATCCTGTGACAACGATGTCCATGCTATTTGTGGAATACCCAATGAAGCAAACGAAGGGTACGGAGGGAACATTACCTGCAGATTGTGTCACAACAAACAAGACATCATGGAACACAGGTCAGCAGCTCATACTGGCTTGCAAACTCAAGGTGCTAAGATGTTTAAATCATCAAATACAAAATTTAAACAAGCTCAAGTGGATGACAATGTACGCATCCGTATACCAGATGTTGACAGAGGTCGCGGTGATCCCCGAAGCGTCATTGCAGTTGTCATGAGCGTCGAGGGCGCTTTCTACTATTTAGGAACGGAACATGGTGTTCTAAACCAACTGTATGCTAGAAGTGAGTTTTCAATTCTTCACGAAAAACTGCTCTTATTATCGTCTGTTGGAACTGAGGAAAAATCACCACGAACCATCTCATCTTCACAATCATTGACTGGGGGCCAAGGCTACACTCGCTGCAATTGCACAACCAAGTGCACAAAAAATCGCTGCAAGTGTAAAAATAACAAGCTACTATGTAATTCTAAATGCCATAAAAGTTCAACTTGTTGTAACAAATGATAATATTGATTGATTGAGACTATAGTACAATAAAAAATTTGAATGTTTCTGTCATTTACTTTAATTAATCAATAAAGACTTAATTTCATGATCCTTACGGCATAAAAAAGCCAAAATCTGCTCACGATCTTCTAATTCGGACTTTGGCCGGTCGTCCCTAGCCAGATGATTTTCTAATTAAGACTTTGGCCGGTCCACCATGGCCAATCCGCGGACTGGCCGGCCAAAGGCCGAAATCAAGAGCTATTTCAGACTTTGGCCGGTCCACCACGGCCAGTCCGCGGATTGGCCGGCCAAAGGCCGAAATCAAGCAAAGTTTCGGACTTTGGCCGACCAATGGAAGACGATATTGGCCAATGCGCGGATTGACCGGCCAATCCGCGCATTGGCCGACTTCGGGCTTTGACCGTAACATATATATATATATATATATATATATATATATATATATATATATATATGGATTTTACGCCTCTGTATGTTTGTTGAAGACATACATATGGTAATAAAATCGATTTGATCGCAGTGGCGTAGCTACCGTAAAGCTAGCGACAGCAAGGCATATGGCCTTAGGCACATAGGGGCCCTTTACCTTTTTAAACTAAAACTTGGAATTTTAATATTTATTTAATGTAAATAATGTTAAAAAAATTCATAAAAAACGTTTTAATAACAAGCTTTTATGTAATGATGCACTAAAAAGTAGAAAATAAATTATAGACTACTATTTAAATAACTATAAAGAAAAGCGTGGGTCACTTTAGTATCTATTGGATACCTTTACTAATGTTAAGGAAGACACCCACGCTTTTCTTTATAGTTATTTAAATAGTAGTCTATAATTTATTTTCTACTTTTTAGTGCATCATTACATAAAAGCTTGTTATTAAAACGTTTTTTATTAATTTTTTCCCAATACTTTACATGTTTTATTTACAATAGAGTTACATGACTAAAAACCATTGCGCGCCTACTGAACATCACGTTCAGTAGGCGCGCAATGGTTTTTGAACGCAGCCATTACGTGAAGGCGCAGCTATTGAAGGTGATGACGCGTGTGGTGTGGTTGGCTAGACATGCCTACTAATTCGGTCCAAATTTTTATTAATTCATAAAAAATTAATTAGGCATCCAATTAAGTCAAATTTAGTTTCAGATTGCATTGTCTTCATGTCTTGACCCACGTGCCAACTGTGAATCGTATCGGTCAAGTAGAACTGTCCGAATTTTCACTCCTGCGTTTCCGTCTAGACAGACTGACGACAGACTGACGAGGAAGCGAGTTAAATAAAAGCTTGTAAGAAAAAAAAATTCATAAAAAAAATTCATAAAAAACGTTTTAATAACAAGCTTTTATGTAATGATGCACTAAAAAGTAGAAAATAAATTATAGACTACTATTTAAATAACTATAAAGAAAAGCGTGGGTCACTTTAGTATCTATTGGATACCTTTACTAATGTTAATGAAGACACCCACGCTTTTCTTTATAGTTATTTAAATAGTAGTCTATAATTTATTTTCTACTTTTTAGTGCATCATTACATAAAAGCTTGTTATTAAAACGTTTTTTATGAATTTTTTTTTCAGTACTTTACATGTTTTGTCTACAATAGAGTTACATGACTAAAAACCATTGCGCGCCTACTGAATATCACGTTCAGTAGGCGCGCAATGGTTTTTGAACGCAGCCATTACGTGGTCGTGATGGCGCAGCTATTGATGACGCGTGTGGTGTGGTTGGCTAGACATGCCTACTAATTCGGTCCAAATTTTAATTAATTCATAAAAAATCAATTAGGCATCCAATTAAGTCAAATTTAGTTTCAGATTGCATTGTCTTCATGTCTTGACCCACGTGCCAAATGTGAATCGTATCGGTCAAGTAGAACTGTCCGAATTTTCACTCCTGCGTTTCCGTCTAGACTGACGACTGGCGACTGACGACTGACGACAGAGGAAGTGAGTTAAATAAAAGCTTGTAAAAGCGTTTTAATAACAAGCTTTTATGTAATGATGCACTAAAAAGTAGAAAATAAATTATAGACTACTATTTAAATAACTATAAAGAAAAGCGTGGGTCACTTTAGTATCTATTGGATACCTTTACTAATGTTAAGGAAGACACCCACG